CCACATTGTTTGAATAGCAAATTTCACAATTTAAAGTGCTCGACATGAACAGAGCATAAGAAAAACATAGAAGATTTTATCTGAATTTATCAACTCACTGCTTTTAGGCTCAAATTTTCTTAAATTAAGTAAAACTTTTTCTCCCTGAGGTGGAGGATTCCTTAGAACATTGTTTTTCTCCCTTTATCCTGGTAACATTTTCTGGTTTCCACATAAGCATGCAGCTCCTCCTGGTGCCTTTTTGAACCAGACTGTTTCTGTTAATGTAATCTATCTGCTGTTATATTTATTCAATCCAATAAACCTATTTGCTCTTTTTTCAAGATTTCCACCCTAATTGTAAATATTATAAACTATAGACCTAAATATGTTACTAAAAGTTAAAATCTTCAGAAAATCAGTTGCTTCAAAATGACTTTAATTTCATCAACTTAAATTCACAGATTAATTACCTTTTTATCAAGTTGTTCTTTATTTAGTTTTCAATTTGATAAAAATTTCTTATGCAAATTCATAAACATTTGAGTCGCTGCTGTTTAAAGTTTATATTTATATAAACTCAAACATTTTCAATTGCAGCGTTTAGTTTTTATGTTTAGTTGTTTCCTTACTTCTTGCTGTGAACACAGAGAGATCTAAATATCACTTGTAAATAGACCTGCACCGATCCCACTATCGGGCGGGTACTACTGCCCTAAAATGGTGGTATCGGTATCGGCAAGTACCAACAAATAGGGCACCGAGACCATTTTGAGAGTTTATTCAACTATTGTCACCTATTCTAGGTAGGCAATAAAAAGTTCTACTGGATTCACTTTGTTTTAGTCATTTTCCTGCTTCACAAAGGTAGGCAGCAACTTGACAAAGCCATGATGGCAACCTATTTAGAGCAGCGATTATGCCAGGATTGAAAACAATTGTATAAACACTTTGGATCTTAGATAAAAGTATTTCATCCATCAGTATGCTCTATTTTGAACTCTTCCATTGAAAAAAATGTGTTGTCATCTGGTTTAATTTCATAAAAAGCTCTTCTTTAAGGGACATTTGGCTATCCGATTATTAATAGATTAATCGAAAAAATAATCGTCAGGTTAATCAATTTGCAAAATAATTGTTAGCTGCAGCCCTCCTAACAAATTATATTCTTTTTAATTAAGTTTCTTACCTTCAAGCGCAATACAAACACTCCCTCTTGACATTGAACAATAAAATGGTTATATATAATTCCAGCAGACCACTTAATCAGATGTGAATATGATCTGTAAAATGCAACTGGAAAAGTAAAAACCAATCTGAAAGGCAGAAATATATATATATATATTTATATATATAAAATGAAAATTAAAAAGAGAATATAAATCTTATAAAACTAGAAAGTTCATCTTGAAAACTATTTTTGAATAAGAATTTGTTTTAAGTTTTATAGGTGGATTGCGTTTTTCTTTTAACTTCAATTAACAAAACAAGTTCCTTGCTTGCAACAATAACAGACATTAATTCACACCGTACTTCATCACATCTCCTTATAACTGTAGCATTTCATCATTCAGCATCATAACACCCAGTAAGAACTCAACCGTAACCTCACTTATGGTGTAGCAGGGCTAGCTACACCAACTGCGAACTACTCACCCGATGGAGTCACATAGTCAAAATAAATACTTCCTTATAACAGTTAAGCTATTTTTATTGAGTTATTGAAGTTATAATAAATCAATATACAAATGGTCCAGAATAATCCAAAGGTTTATGTTAAACATGCTCAAAATACCAGACTATGTTATAAACTCAACACATTTGAGTCAGCAGGAAGCTGACAAAAATAATACTAATCTTAATTACTCTGTTTAATTAATTACACTTAACGTTACAGTGCTGCTGTTGATCAGACTCCAGAGAAAAAAAAAACAAAAAAACAGAGAGGCTGCAGATGACCAGATTCTGGGTCTATAAATATATTTTCATGGTGATAGTAAACAAAAGGCATCTGTGCCCTAACCGATGGCTGCAGAGCGGGCCGATTGAGACGTTCAGATATGAGGGGGTTGCTAAGGAACATGAATTCACACGTAGCCTGTTTTCCGCCACAGCAGCTGCGCCTCTTTAGAGGCCGCTAATGCATTCAGCTCAATCTGCCCGTGCCACGACCACGTGTGCCCGCCACATTCAGCCCATGCATCCTGCTCCTCGTTGGCTCTGGTTAAGACAAAAGGCTGCAGTGGACTTTTTTTTTAATTATTATTACTTTGGAGGCAGATTGGACGGTACACATGGTTACAGGGTCATTACTACATAAACCCAGCAGGACAAAGAGAAGACACAAAGCAAGCTGTATTCTGGGACAATTGGCACTGCAGTCTTATCAGGTCTCAACTGGACATCTGCTCCAACCGCTGTACTTGTTATTAGCCACTCATGGTCTGTTAAAATCAAGTAGTCCAGTTTGATAAGTAGAACAAGGCTGGATCGATTCCACCCAACTATAAACGCAACATCCACCATAATTTCACCTTGGCTCCTTCTACTGCGGCCATGTTTTTGTAGGCAAGCTGCAATAAAATCCCAGCTTTCCTCTTTAACACTTTAATAAAGGAAGAAATGTTATCTTTCTGATTTATGATCCACGTTTTCTTCTTTCCATAAACGGCTATCCAAATATGTGCTGAAATAGTTTGGCCAGGAGTTTGATTGAAAAAAAAGAGAGGCTTTTTTATGGGAAAGCCAAGTTCAACATTAGTTAATCTCAAACCTGTGAAAACATTTTCCACACAGCGATCTCACAGAAATGAACCAATCAAAAAGGAGACTAAACAGGATGAAGGTTGCTACAGGCCTATAATCCAAAAATCAGATTGAGAATATTTAATATTCCCTAAAATTATCTCAGAGTCACGATTGTTTTCATGTCTGCACTTGAAACGAGTTGCGTAAGAGAAACATCCGTCACAGTTTTGTAACTTTTATTTAAGGGTTTTT